CCTTCAAGTGCAGTGTGTGTGGGAAGGCGTTTGCACAGTCATCAAATCTTGTAGAACACCACAGAACACACACGGGAGAGAAACCCTTCAAGTGCAGTGTGTGTGGGAAGGCGTTTGCACAGTCATCTACTCTTGTAAAACACCAGAGAACACACACGGGAGAGAAACCCTTCAAGTGCAGTGTGTGTGGGAAGACGTTTGCAGAGTCATCTTCTCTTGTAAAACACCAGAGAACACACACGGGAGAGAAACCCTTCAAGTGCAGTGTGTGTGGGAAGGCGTTTGCAGAGTCATCTTCTCTTGTAAAACACCAGAGAACACACACGCGAGAGAAACCCTTCAAGTGCAGTGTGTGTGGGAAGGCGTTTGCAAAGTCATCTACTCTTGTAATACACCAGAGAACTCACACGGGAGAGAAACCCTTCAAGTGCACTCCGTGCGGGAAGGCGTTTGCACAGTCATCAAATCTTCATGTACACCAGAGAACACACAAGCATCACAAGATCCACCAGGAGTGGAGTCTGAAATCAGCTTGTGAAAGTGAAAGTGTCGCAATGAGCCCATCCCTCGTGAAACAAGAACCAGAAGAAAATCCCAGCTTGGACAATTTTAAAGCTATCGAGGTGAAATATGAAGAGGTGAAGGTGGAATATGAAGAGGTGATGGTGAAGAGTGAAGAAGTGAAGGTAAAATGTGAAGATGATTAAAGTCCAGAATGTGACCTTCACATGGATGGAGGCAACGTGAAGCAGGAGGAGAATTCTGACTGTGAGGCAGAGCGAGGCAACTCCCAGCAGTTTGTGGAAGTGGAGGTGTGGGTGGACTTCCTCTGAGACAACACGAAGTCAAATGGAGACCCAGTAGATGTGTAAGCCAGAGACGATGTCGCTCCAATAGATGGACCTTTGTCACAGGCCTTTAATGACAAGAATGTGAAGTTGAACACTCAGTTCCTAGGTTCAACCTGCAGGGTAAGAGTGGCCAGTCTTTGTGGCCCTGTGTGTTGGGTAGATCTCTAACCAGGAGCGAGAGCCAATAAGCCCCCAAGCATTCACTATGTTCTCATCATAATTGCATTTATATGGTGCTTGCTTAATCGCCTCTGGCAACTCTGAGTTTTGCATCGTATCTCGTCTCAAACACTCGAAACATCCCCAAGTGGCAGCTGCCCCTGTGTGGCACAAGGTGGTGGTCCTGCACCGGCCTGCGTGTGGATAAGAGCCTGTCAGTGGGGAGCGATGATTGATGTGTCATCTCAGCTGTGTCGTTTGTAGGTAATGTTTAGAATTTGCTACATTTTGACCCAGACGCCAGCATGCAAAGGCCTACTCGTTTTGAATTGTACAATTGTGTGTTTCACATCCACTGTTCAGTAGAGGGTGCATTCTTTAAATAGCTCCTTGTTAATAAGATGTTATCTAAACTAAATTGTTCAATTTTGGAAGAACGTAATCAACCAGGTAGGGTGTTGACTGTTGTGTTGGCCGACTCTGTGTTGTGTTGCATTATATTTCTAAGTTCACTATGTTTTCTCATTCACTTGTTGCACCTGATGATGGTTGCTTGTATTCCAATCGAAACGTCGTATTCTGTTATTTAATTTATTTCTCCGTGACTTTACCGATGCAGTAAGTTTCACTGCAGTTATTCAATTTTGTCAATATGCCTGTCAGTAGTTTAGAATGAATACTTGTCTGATTGTGCGCGTACATTGAACATTTTGTCTGAGGGTCAAACATCGAATAAGTGATGTTGGGGCAAAGTGTGTGTTTGTGTTTGTAAGTAGCCTGTAGAGATTACTCAGGTTAGACCCGTTATTCTTGTGATACAGCTCAAAGGGTACTTTTGTGTTTCAAGGAAGTATCTGCCTCTGGAGTAGGCAGCATGCAATAGGGAGCACGCTCGGATCATCCGTCAGTTACAAGGCGTACCGCTTAAACGCTACACGTAGAGGAGATACATTCTCTACAACACGAATTATAATTTTGTATTACGTGTTGACAGACTTTGTCAAACTAGGACGAGAAATGTTCCTTGTTTAATTCACATCTGGAGGTTCATAACCGTGGGTTGAAGCAAGCCCGGCTGCTGTTGAGACGCTGTGCACCAATAAGGGTCCATAGGTGGCTTGCACTGAATCAATGATGCACTCCCAGAAGGCCGTGATGGTTATAGTTTAAAACATTCCTTTGTTTCGTGGCGAGATCGATAAATGAAATATGTAAAGTCTGAATTATTTCATAGCAAGGAGGTAATTTTAAGAGCACATTTAAAATGCATTTTTTTTTACATTTTTGTATTCAGTTACAAGGCAGAGCACATTGAGTAGATACATTCTACCCAACGCTAATTAGGATTTTGTATGACGTCTTATGTTGGTGAACTAGGACGAAAAATGTTCCTTGCTGATGAACGTCTGGATGTTGACAACCGTGGGTAGAAGCGAGCCCTGACTGCTGTTGAGACATCGTGCACAAGAACCGGTCCACAGCTGCCTCGCACTGAGTCAATGCTGCACTAGTCATGGACTCGCACAAGGCCGTGGGATTTATATTTTGTGTAAAACGTTCCTTTGTTTCGTGGAGAGACCGATTAAATGAAAGACGTCTCGTCTGCTGATCTTGTTCATATCTGTGTACATCGATGTCCCACATTGCTTACCACATTTAAATGTTAGTTTTGGAGCTTTCGTGACTGCAGGAATTATTCTTTGGTTCTTTCGGTAAAGTCACGTCTAAAGATAAAATAATAAATTGAATAATAGCATATTACGACGTTTCGATTGCAACACAAGCAATCATCATCAGGCATAAAAGAAATAGCAACAAAAATCTAACTAGAAAACTATAGACAGACACACAAGCAGACAGACATCACAAGGACACACAGAGAGAATACATCGGCACAAAGAGAGAGGTCGTTTCTGTGACGGGGCCTTAAATATAGATCTGTCTGTGTGTCTGTCTATAGTTTTATGGTTAGATTTTTTATTTCTTTTATACCTGATGACGATTGCTTGTGTTGCAATCGAAACGTCGTATGCTATTTTTAAATTTATTATTTTATCTTTTTACGTCACTTTACCGAAAGAACCAAAGAGTCATTCCTGCAGTCACGAAAGCTCCAAATAAAGATATTCGCTGGAGGATGTTTGCGATGCCCTTTCGTTCCACCAGGCGGCGCTGTGAGCCACGATGTTAAAAATCTCCGAAATCTGGATCGACCATATGAACGTGGACTTTCCACCACTGAATGAGAACTTGATGATGAGCACCCAATTACAGATGCCCAGTGGACTGTGTCAAAGTCATTTCCCACCACATCTCCCCCCCCCCCATCTCTCTCCTCCACACTCTCCCTGTCTCTCTCCCCGTTCTCCCTCCCTCACCGCGCTCACACCCCACCACGTGCGCTGACTCCCTCCCCGCAGCGCCCACGTGGATGTTGCACTGACACGGCGCGCTCAGGGCGGTGCTCCTCACTCGCGTGCAGAGTGCACCACGGGGTGACCAGCCCCTCCCCACCCAGCCCCTCCCCACCCAGCCCCTCCTCACCCTCCCCACCCAGCTCCTCTTCACCCTCCCCACCCAGCCCCTCCCCACCCAGCCCCTCCTCACCCTCCCCACCCAGCCCCTCCCCACCCAGCCCCTCCTCACCCTCCCCACCCAGCCCCTCCTCACCCTCCCCACCCAGCCCCTCCTCACCCAGCCCCTCACCCTCCCCACCCAGCCCCTCCCCACCCAGCCCCTCCTCACCCTCCCCACCCAGCCCCACCCTCCCCACCCAGCCCCACCTTCCCCACCCCAGCCCCACCCTCCCCACCCAGCCCCTCCTCACCCTCCCCACCCAGCCCCTCCCCACCCAGCTCCTCCCCACCCAGCCCCTCCTCACCCTCCTCACCCTCCCCACCCCAGCCCCACCCTCCCCACCCCTCCCCACTCCCCACCCAGCCCCACCCTCCCCACCCAGCTCCTCCCCACCCAGCCCCTCTCCACCCAGCCCCACCCCTCCCATTTTTTTTATGCACGACGAACGGACGGACACAACAATCCCCTGTGGGCTGGTGTAACCAGGAGGTTCCCAGCGGTGTAAAGTGAGTCCAGCTCAGGCACCGAGAGCAGTGCGGCTGATGGAGGTGGTCACTGACAGCGGCAGTGGGAGATGTCCCCCCAGACGCGCGCTTTGTGTGTGTCGGTGTCGCCACGCGCTGTCACCTGTGGCTCTCTACTGAGTTCATGGGCTCTTGTGAACACTGCCAAATGTGATTCTGCCTTTGTGAGTTATGAACCGAGTTTCACTGCAAGGCAACGTTCAATTAATAGAATGGTAAATGCAAAGTCGTATTAAATTTTGACTTAAACTTTCGTGACTGCAGGAATTCAAATTTTTGGTTCTTTTTGTAAAGTCACGAATATATAAAGTAAAAAAATTTAAAAGTATCATTAATTAAAAAATAATAAAAGCAAAACACCCAATTTATTATTTAGACTTCAAACTTATTATTTTTAATTAAAATGTAATTTAATTATTTTTATTATTTATTTTCCATCTCCGTGACTTTACCTGTAAGAACCAAGAATATTAAAGTTTAAAGTCAAAATTCACCCTCCACCCACCCACCCAATCACGAAAGCCGGGGGGGGGGGGGGTGACACCACGTGACCCACAACCCCCCGCGGAAAAGACGCTGCCAACCGATCATTCGCCTGCCGCATTCGTTAACACATTCACCCATCTTCTCTGCCTTGACGCAATCCACAACATTTATATCTTAAAACACCCCTCCCTGCCTCCCCTAATAAATACATTATTTAATTGTACACATTTTAAACGATATTAAACCCATACTTACAATATTGTAAACGTAAGTCGTTTTTATTATTGCATCGTGACCACCACCACCACAATCGGCGTCGTGACGAAACTGGCTGCGAGGAATCAGCGGCTTCGTCCCCCTCGTGCGCTTTGCAAATCTGGCTTCGCGCCAAACTCGGTAATTCGCGTTAATCGACAAAAGTTTAACTTGATACAACTTCACAGTTATACAAAGTTGGCGTTCACTTCCCTCACGTTTGAGGGAAATCCCTCATCGTTGTTGTTATCGACGTCATCGCGGCTCTTATCCGCGTGTTTTTTTTTAGTTTTATTGCTCGTTGGTGGCTTGTGGTTGTTGTATTGGGGGGTGTGAGACTTCAATTGACATGCCGAGGTTACTCAGGTGCGTGAGTGGCTCTGTGGCTGTTTCATACAGAAAGGGAGTTTGTTGTTGGGGGGGGGGGCAGATCGCGTCAATGTGTAAATGTTGTGTCGCTAAACTCGCCACCACCCGACACGGCAACTGGTGAGGGGGTGGTCACGTGAACAGAACGTGGCCAATTCGTCACTAGTACAGCACGAGTGTGTGTAGTGTATAGTGTAGTGTATAGTAGTGTAGTGTATAGTAGTGTAGTGTATAGTGTAGTGTATAGTAGTGTAGTGTATAGTAGTGTAGTGTATAGTAGTGTAGTGTAGAGTAGTGTACTAGTACAGCACGAGTGTGTGTAGTGTAGTAGTATTATAGTGTATAGTGTAGTAGTATAGTGTATAGTAGTGTATTATAGTGTAGTAGTGTATAGTGCAGTGTACAGTAGTGTAGTGTATAGTAGTGTACTAGTACAGCACGAGTGTGTGTAGTGTAGTAGTATAGTGTAGTAGTGTATAGTAGTGTAGTGTATAGTAGTATAGTGTAGTGTACTAGTACAGCACGAGTGTGTGTAGTAGTGTAGTGTTTAGTAGTATAGTGTAGTAGTGTAGTGCATAGTGTATAGTAGTGTGTATAGTGTATAGCATAGTGTATAGTGTAGTAGTATAGTGTACAGTAGTGTATAGTAGTATAGTGTATTGTAGTGTATAGTAGTGTACTGTATAGTTGTGTAGTGTATAGTGTAGTGTGTAGTGTATAGCAGTGTAGTGTATAGTAGTGTAGTGTATATAGTAGTGTATAGTGTAGTGTATAGTGTAGTGTATAGTAGTGTATAGTAGTGTAGTGTATATAGTAGTGTATAGTGTAGTGTATAGTAGTGTAGTGTATAGTAGTGTAGTGTATATAGTAGTGTAGTGTATAGTGTAGTGTATAGTGTAGTGTATAGTAGTGTAGTATATAGTAGTGTAGTGTCTAGTAATATAGTGTAGTGTATAGTAGTGTTTAGTAGTGTACAGTGTAGTGTATAGTGTAATTGATGACATTGGTACATCGGATCAGTTGGGACAGTGTTGGCCGGCTACGTGTCATGTTCATCGATTACAACGAGTTTCAATGCAGCCTCAATGTCACTGATTGACAACCGCCTTTGCAGATCGATAGGCACTGCCATGGCACTTGCTTTGCATTGTGTCATTGTAATTCAGTGGCACTGGTGTCCTGGCAGTACAGCAAGTGGGCCCGTGAATCCATGTACGTAATGTGAGTTATTCCTGAATTGATCTTTCGTCGTTTTTCTTTTATCCAAATGATTGGTGTTGCAGAATCAAGAAATTTGATTATACTCAGCCTGAGGACTTTGAAGACGACGGTGAGTAGAATGTGAGGTATCTATCAGAGGTGTGGACTCGAGTCATGTGACTTGGACTCGAGTCAGACTCGAGTCATGAATTTGATGACTTCAGACTCGACTTGGACTTGCATAACAATGACTTTGTCCCACCTCTGAGATGTGGACTCGAGTCATGTGACTTGGACTCGAGTCAGACTCGAGTCATGAATTTGATTACTTCAGACTCGACTTGGACTTGCATAACAATGACTTTGTCCCACCTCTGAGATGTGGACTCGAGTCATGTGACTTGGACTCGAGTCAGACTCGAGTCATGAATTTGATTACTTCAGACTCGACTTGGACTTGCATAACAATGACTTTGTCCCACCTCTGAGATGTGGACTCGAGTCATGTGACTTGGACTCGAGTCAGACTCGAGTCATGAATTTGATTACTTCAGACTCGACTTGGACTTGCATAACAATGACTGTCCCACCTCTGGTATCTATACATATGATGGTTATGGGCAGACGACGTGGTGGACAGTAGTGATGGTTATGATTGTAATTATGGTCGTTGACTCGTTGGCTTATTTAAATGATTAGAAGTCATATTTCATTACCAAAGTTAAATCGCATTAGATCCATCCGCAAGGGAGCTGCCGTGGTTAGCGCGGTGGGCTTGCAATCCAGAAGCCGCTGGTTCAACTCCATTTCCCGGCGTGGCAAGTTTCTTAAATCCCCTCCCCACCTCTCTTCCACCCAGCGGTGTCAATGAGTTCACCGCGCTTGGTTGTGTGTGGTCGAGGAGGCGCTTTGCCGCCTCTACCAATGTGTCTGCGCAGCGTGGGAGAGTAGGCAATTTCCTCTTTTCAGCTCCCTCTTGTGGAGGCCCTCTGCACCGGTAGTAAAATCCCACCGTAAACTATTGCCAATTCCCGACTTTCATAACCGCCATTTGATTCCGAAAATGGTTATCGGTTTAACAAACCCAGCGATGTACGCGCGTCAATGTGTGTGCGTGTTGCATCGCCACAGACGGTGACTTCTCATCGGCCTCTCTTCCGCCAAGCAAAATGTCTCAAGCGGTGACCAATTCTGACGATGAAAATGGCGACAAGGCAAAGCCTGCAAAGAAGGCCTTGAGCGGAACCAAGAAGTCCCGTCAAGTCACGGCCTTGAACACAGCAGCAGGAACAGCAAGAGACGGAAGGTAATACTATACACTACACTGTACACTACTATACACTACACTATACACTACTAGACACTACACTGTACACTACTCTACTATACACTACACTATACACTACTCTACTATACACTACACTATACACTACTCTACTATACACTACACTATACACTACTCTACTATACACTACACTACTATACACTACACTACTATACACTACACTACTATACACTACACTATACACTACTCTACTATACACTACACTACTATACACTACACTATACACTACTATACACTACACTACTATACACTACACTACTATACACTACACTATACACTACACTGTACACTACTATACACTACACTATACACTACACTACTATACACTACACTATACACTACTCTACTATACACTACACTACTATACACTACACTGTACACTACTATACACTACACTACTATACACTACACTATACACTACTCTACTATACACTACACTATACACTACTAGACACTACACTACTATACACTACACTACTATACACTACACTATACACTCCACTGTACACTACTATACACTACACTATACACTACTATACACTACACTGTACACTACTATACACTACACTATACACTACTAGACACTACACTACTATACACTACACTATACACTACACTACTATACACTACACTATACTGCTATACACTACACACTACTACATTACTATTATTGTGCCGTTACGTCATGACATGATGTAAATGCATGTCCCTTAGAGACGCTCACCAGATGGAGTGCATCGCCTCGTCATTGTTTTACAAGTCAGCGTTGTTTGTATTGTTTCTATTGCATCTCATGGATTCGCAGTTGCTTCCGACAGCCACTGCAATGGTAACGAAAGAACAGATTCTTGAGCCGAATTGCAATCCTAAATCATGGCAATTCATGAAACCATCAGGAGGGAAATTCCTTCCATGCCTAGTTTGGATTCACTCCTTCCAGCTGCTCCATCATGTTATGTAGCAACCTCTTATTTATAACATTACTAGCGGTAAGTACCCGGCGTTGCCCGGGCGAAAAAGGCAGACACACATGTAGACTTACACACAGACATCGACCTACACACATAGAAACACATCGACTTAGATGCACACACACATATGGTTAAGTGCAGGATGTATCGTTAGCAGGCCAGCCTAAATGTTTGTAGCCGGCGAAGATGTTCTATTAGGGGGGTGCATGTTTTGCAAGCGTAGAGAAGGGAGGGAATTACCGTGGCTGAGAAGACCTGGTGCTTCATGCGGAGCGAGAGACCAGGTAGCTTCCACACAGCGTTACGCAGCCGATGAAAAGATAATGGCGCCCGACTAATTTGGAGTGAGACCTCTGCTGTCAAACCGGAGCCGGTCATGAGCACACTGGCCAGGTATGGGAATCTCTCCAACTCTCCACAACTGCCGCATCACCAATTGTGAGTTGTGGGGCTGGATTGTTCGATGGTATAAAATACCCAGGCAGATGGTTAGTTTTGGTGGGGCTGATGGTGAGGCCCCACCTCTTAGTGACAAGCTCCAGGTTCAGCAGCAGTGAGCAGCAATCACCAGAGCATCGGCATACATAACATGGTTGAGCAATAGGGAGGCATCCCTTGACCGCACCCGGGCGTCGATCAGCCTCTTATTGTATCTGTACCATATGGTAATTCCACCGGTATAGGTCACTGAAGGCTTCACGAACTACGTGGTCAAAAGATATGTAAAATAATGTGGGAGCCAGAGGACATCCCTGTCACACCCCAAGGTGTAGAGGGAATGGCTCTGACTGACGGCCACGTAGTTTGACGTGGGGCCGCTCACCATCATGAAGGTCCTAAGGATCGTGAGCAAAGGGTGAGGGACTCCGAAAGCACGAAGAACAACCCAGAGGCCAGGCCTACTGATGGTATCATAGGCCTTGAGCAGGTCAATAAACCACATACATTCACTCGCACGCACACATGGACCTACAGACACGCAAAGAAATGGACTTACACTTACTCACAAGGAGCAACGCACACAAAGCGACTAACACACACGCACATGGGCTGAGACGCACACATATATCGACTCACACAAACACATCGACTTACACACATATATGGACTCACACACACTTGACATACACACGTGGAGTTACACAGACATATCGACGTACACACATACAGGGACTCACACACACACATACACACCGACTCACACACAGACATACGTGGACTGACACACACACATTGACGTAAACACACATTTAAAGTTCAAGTTCATTTATTAGGTATAGCCCTGTGAGCCATTCGGCTCTTGAATTGGGTGTACTTACACACACACACACATATGGACTAAGACACACACACATGGACTGACGCACACATACATATGGACTCACACACGCATAGACATCCACTTTAGATACACCCACATGGAGTTACACACACATATATGGACGTACACACATACAGCGACTCAGACACACACACATGGAATCACACACAGACATACGTGCACTAACACACACATTGACATAAACAAAGATCCCCCGTATAGCCTTAACAGACTGTAGGGGCAAGTGCTGTTAATGAGCACCTATGAAGGCCGGAACGGTACATGAGGGGGTAGGTGGCCAGCACCACGCCCGACCGCCTTTGTCTCCCCAGTGGCGATGTTTACACACCGCACCAGGTACTCATTTAAGGCTGAGTCGACCTAGGGGAGGCCCAGGACCGTTTCAGATAATCGTCACTGGTGTTAGCCGTGAGCGGGAATCGAACCCGGGTCGCCAGGTTCATAGCGCAGCGCGCTAACCGCTACACTACCGCTCCCCACACACATGTACTTACACACACATGTACTTACACACACATGTACTTACACACACATGTACTTACACACACATGTATTTACACACATACATAGACTGACACACACATGGATTAACACACACATGTCGACTCACACACGCGCACTGACTTACACACACACATCGAGTGAGACACACACACATGTATGGACTTACACACACATGTGGACTTACACACACACACATATGGACTAACACACACATACACATCGACTGACACACATAGACACACGAATACACATACACACTCAGATGGAGCCATGCACACACATCGACTAACACACACACACATGGACTAACACACACACACATGGACTAACACACACACAGCTACTGATACGCACACAAATGGACTTACACGCACACTTGGACTGACACACACACACAAACACTTTGACGTACACACACACATCGGGCGTTGTCCGTTCGAAAAAGACAGACATGGAGTTAAAGACACGCATGGCTCTACACGCACAAACATATGGACTCAAAGACACACACGTGGACTCATACACACACATCGATGGGCACAACAATCCCCGATGATGGCACAGCTATCAGTATCGCAGTACTACGTATGAGTAAATAGCGTGACGTGAGCGATGGAAACAATAGAGATGCATTTAAGAAATAAGCAGAGATAAGTGTAAATGAAAGATAAACAATGAACCAGAGTTGGTATGTGCACACAAAGATATATATATAGTAATATCTGGCAACGTATTTGTTTCATAATATTAAGCAATTAAGCATATTTTTTATCAGCACACAAACATTATTATTGTAATGTTTGTAAACTAATGTGTTTAACAATAGTAAACAATGGACTTGAGTTGTTAGCGTAAGAAGCAAGGAACTCTGTACTTAGCATAGGCGTGTTGAGGCCTTGTGCCATGCTTAGCCCCCGTCCTGGCCTACATTGGCGAGGCGGCGGAGTTGGCACGTTGCCAGGCTAGGGGCTGGGCCGCTACCCCCCCCCCCCCCCCAGCATCCCCCGCCCGTGCAAGAATAATGGTATGTAAGCAGTAAAATATTATTATCTACGGAGTCTGTAGTATAAAGTGGACGCATCGTGTTGGGGGGGGGGGGGGGCGAAGAGGACATGACACTGTGAAGAAATGTCCGCAGAGTTACGTATGTACGTCTTGCCTGCTGTAAAACGCGTAAAAGGAAATGAGCTCGTGCGAACGCGCATCACTTGGCAGTGTCTACCCCCCCCCCCCACGCAATTGGCGTCAGTTGGTACGGTCGATGTCGAGCAATAAGTAAGTAATTAATAATAGAAACCGCACAAATGTGTTAATTAAACAACTTTAAACTTTACGGATGGGGAAACGGAATAGCCTATTCCCACCGCGGGGCTTAGGGCGTGCCGCCTGCCAATTTTATTTCTATGTGAAGCCCACCGTCCAAGAGCCAAATCCCCCGCAAGCGCGCGGAGACTCTTATATATAAGAAGAAAAGAAGATTGCACTGCCCACACCAACCTCTGTGCATTGTCGTCGTTTGCAATCGCACTTTGCGCCACTCTGCGCAGACCGTCCCTGGACGACGAGCGTCTCTTTGAGAGGGAGCTCAAGGAGGTCCTTGCCCTCGCTGGTGATCAGACGGAAGTGGCGGCGTCTTCGCGGGAGAGTTCACAGGAAGCCGTGGGCAGTGCCACCGTCAACACGGACGACCCACCCGGTATGAGACTCTACAGATTTGTGGCTTTCTGTATGTTTGCACGTGTGTGGACATGTATGATGCTCACTGCCAACACCAGTAACGATTATATGAACCAGTCCTGGGCCTCTCCGAGGTCGACTCAGCCTCAAATGAGTACTTGGTGCAATTCCAGGCGTGGTGCTGGCCATCCACCCCCATGTATGCCGTGCCGACCTTCATACGTGCTCGCTCACGGCAGCTGCCACAACAGCCTCTGAATGGCTGTACGGGGAATCTATGTGTTTGTACGGTGGCTAGGAGATGTTTCACTTCCTCGTCTGGTGTACAGAAGGTCGTGCGTTCGATCCCGACCCTGACGCCTGCTGCTGTATATTTGGAGTTTGCGTGTCTCTCCCCGTGGTCACGTGGATTTTTCTTCGGGTCCTCCAGTTTTCCCTCTACATTTAGAATATTTCGCCGCGATACATCTCCACGTGATAATTGCTCACTTTCTTGAGCTACCATTTGTGATAGCCAAGTCGCTTCTGAAGAAGAGACATTTGGCTCAGTGGGCCTTACCTGATGACACAAAGTTGTTTAGTTTTGCATGGCAGTGCCAGGCCACTGAGGATGCTCATGTGTTGCCCTCTGTTCAAACCACACAGCAGTCTCCTGCTGGCTTTTTCCTAAATCGTATCGTATTCTTTATTGATTTTTCAAAGTCGAGATAAAATCTTGATTTGAAGCTTCAGTTGACTCTGTAGCACTATCACTACGACTGTATTGTTCCCAAAAAAAATTTTTTCAATAGTAATATTTGGCAAACATTCAATACGTGCCATGACCACATTGGAATACTTGCTTTTATTTGGTAAAGTAATTCTGACCGATCAGAAATATGAAACAACAGTGTCCACAATGCAGCGACCACGACGACGACGGGTAATCACATGTTGTCTAAAACACGACAGACAACGAGACGGGCGAGTCCTCGGAGTCCGCTGGGAAGTCCGACAGCGATGACAGCGACCACAAGAAGCCCTTCTGGAAGTTCAAGGTGCCTAGGGTCACCGCCGCCACCGCCAACAGGAGAGGGAGCAAAGCCGCCGTGGCCAGGGGCAGCAGAACAACGGGCGCGGCGCGTGGAGCCGGGGCGGATGTCGGGCCAGATCCTGCCCCTCGGCAATCAGCGAAGCGCCTCCCCCCGCCCGCGTTCAACGAAGCCGGCGTCGCGGATCGTGCCACCGCATCGCCTCTACCCAAGTGGGTTCCTCCAGGTAAGGACAAAGCATCGAAACCACGGCCGGCACAAGCGCACGTGTTTCTAACTCGCACGCCTTTCACGTTTTCCCACGATGAAACCATCCATGGATGTGCCTCACCTCCACTGGGTCTGTCTAGGAAGCTAAGCAGGGATTTGAGCCTGCTAAGTACAATCTTAATTTGGAGCTTTCGTGACTGCAGGAATGACTCTTTGGTTCTTTCGGTAAAGTCACGTATAAAGAGAAAGTAATAAATTAAATACTAGCATACGACGTTTCGATTGCAACACAAGCAATCATCATCAGGAATAAATGAAATAGAAACACAAATCTAGTATACTTAGAAATGGAATGTAATACAACAGAGAGTCGGATAACATAACAGTCTACACCCTACCTGGTTGATTATGTTCTTCCTGAGAATACTACATTTGAGAGAGAGAGATAAAAACACAGAACCAGAAACATATAGACAGACATATAAGCAGACAGATATCACAGAGATACATAGAGAGAGGGAACAAACATAGGCACACAGAGAAAGCAACGTCTCTGTATCGAGGCCTTGATGAGTGATGACCACCGTAGCTCTCCGGGTGATGTAGGTGTGAGAGCGCGAGATGGTCTGCACCTGGCAGTGCCGAGTGTTGCTACCTCGCCGTGAGCGACACTCACGGCGGAGTGGGAACACGTCCACTTGCGGGGTCGACGGAGCGAGGATATCCGAGTGTGTGTGCTAGATTCATTGTTGTGCGAGCGTGAGGGATGGCGGCAGCTTCGGAGAGGCCTTCATCTCGCAGTGGATAGAGCATGTCTGAGTGTGTGTATGCGGAATGCTAATGGAGCAGACAAAACTCTTCAAAGGAAGCAGAAAAAACTAAAAAAGTTTCAAAAAGAGAATGTTTTTTTCATCGAATTGTGACTCCAAATGACGACGTTCTTCTACTTACTTTGGAGGAGTCAATGGTCACGTGGCAACTAAGTGTGTGTAATCCTCAGAGTAACTTTACAATAATGATGAAAAATCCCACGATGGTTTGCAGTCCTTTGTTTATCCACCTATGAACGAAGGCCCCTCCATGTCACCAGAAATAATGACGACTTAGAAAATCGTTGAGAATGTGAGTTAACGTGTGTTACTGTCGTAGCCTAACCCCCCCCCCCCCTTTAACCACATCAGGTCCGGCCTTGCATCTTGGCCTCTCGAAACGAGCCAAGCTGACGCCTCTCCACCCTGACTCAACATGAAATCACCACGGATCACCACAGATCACCACGGACCACCACAGCCCGCCACAGATCACCACAGATCACCATGGACCACCACAGCCCGCCACAGCCACCAGCCACTGACTCTTTCAACATGCCATGACATGTCCCAGTCAGCCACTAAGCCATTCCACTTGCCACGGTCTGCGAGTGATACATTCCAAACTCTGAGCACTACCACGGTTTGCCACTGAACCATGGCCTTGTCTGGGACAAGCACTTACCCATTCAACCGCCAAGGGCTACTACCACTGACAGCCCAAGTGCAACTCAACTTGCCATTACTCAACGTATACAAGACCCGCCATGCCTCAATAGGTGCGGTCTGCTGTAAGCCGACCTGACTTGCCACCGTAGAGATTGCCGCAGCCCGCTGTGAGGTGACTGCTCGCTGCCTGCAGCCACGGCCTAAAGCATGGCTGCTAGACTGACTTGAACCACCGCCGAAGACAACCTCAGCTGCCGTGGCTGAAATCTGAGGCACAGTTTAACAGTGAAAGCCCTTTATTCCAATTCAATAGCACGTTTTTTGTTAGCACATGGATGAAAATCATCTGAATAACTTAGTTTTAATGCTTTTCGTTAGAGTCTGTAGAGCAGTTTCGTTCTGCATTTAGTTTATTGTTATATAGCACGAGTGTTTGGTGTAAACTTTAACGCAAGACTGGTTATAATTCTGTATGACTTCACGAGATATTGGCCGGACTAGAAATGTTTTCATCCTGGCCTCACTGCACAACTCTCAACCCATTGTCCTGAAATTTAAAGACGTGGCCCAAAATTCAAACGGCTGTTATCTTTCGATTAAAAGCTTTCGTGACTGCAGGGATTCATCTTCTTGGTTCTTTCGGTAAAGTCACGTAGAATGGAAATAATAAAATAATAAAAATTAAACAATACAATTCTCACGACGTTTTGGCCACAACGCAAGCAGAAGAACAGGTGAAGAACAGGTCTGTCGGAAAGACAGACGCTGTCTTTCCGACAGACCTGTTCTTCTGCTTGCGTTGTGGCCGAAACGTCGTGAGAATTGTATTTTATTATGTTTTATTTTTATTATTTTATGATTTCCCTTCTACGTGACTTTACCGAAAGAACCAAGAAGCTATTAACTTGCGGCTACACACCGATATTGTGTTCCCAGGACGCGCAGCCCAAGTTTGCGTCTGCGAGAGAAGAGCTACAGATTCTCCTCGCATTATACGGCTTCCTGTTTGTGCGATTTTGCGCTGTTTATGGGGCAAGCCGGTTCATACCCAAAATTCGCGAGATGCGGTTTCACTTAAGTCACGTGCGGCTACGCGCTCGGATGTAGGACAAGATTGTGTGTGTGTACTGTCCACGCTACTCGGCAGGCAGCTGTATCCTTGTGCGGTGTCGCTTTGTGTGCCCTTTTTGAAACGCATCTTCTACTAGCGCAGACAGCGAGGGAAACCTGTACATTGCACTTGTTAATTTTGACTTGCATCTAGAAGGGTTTAGGGGGTCTGGATGCAATGTGACTTCGTGCTCCTTTACCAAAAGACATTCCAAACTCTTGCCCTCAGAAATACAATCCAGGTTTTAATGCACACACACACACAAGTAAGATGAGTGCAGTCACAGGTAACGGCAGTGTTTGTTTTAAAGCTTTCGTGACTGCAAGGATTCATATTTTTGGTTCTTTCGGGTAAAGTCACGTAGAAGGGAAATAATAAAGTAATAAAAATATAAACCAATTAAATTCTCACGACCTTTCGACTGCAACACAAGCAATCATCGTCAGGTGTGAAAACCACAGCAAGTAAATTTTAAAAAAATTGTATAATTTTATTTCGATTTAAAGCTTTCGTGACTGCAGGGATTCATCTTCTTGGTTCTTTCGGTAAACTCACGTAGAAGGAAAATAATAAAATAATAAAAATAAAACAAAATTATTCTCACGACGTTTCGGCCACAACGCAAGCAGCCATCTTCAGGTGGAGAATTATTTTATGTTTTATTTGTATTATTTTCTTTCTACGTGACTTTACCGAAAGAACCAAGAAGATGAATCCCTGCAGTCACGAAAGCTTTAAATCGAAATTTGTCGTTGTTGTTGTTTGGAGTGGAATCCATGGAGCTGCACAAGTCTACGTCATCACCTTCGGCATCGTCTGCATCGTTGTTGGCCAAGCAGCCTGTTGCTGTCCTGACCCTGGCATCGTTGCCTGTGACGGCGACAATAAAACAGAGTGCCTCCTCAATACGACTCGTGTCTCTCTAAAGTTTCGTGTCTCTCTAAACTAATTCAGCATCAAAGGGAGGGGATAGGGGTAGCATTAATAAAGGGAAGGTGTGTTAATAGTATGTAGCTGCTGATGCTGAATTAGTACTATTCACATACCTGCATTTCCCATATCCTCTATGCTTAATACAATGAACAAAGTAATATATAGTATCGTAATTGTATAGTAAATAAATAGCAGTGTGATACACATTAGGGTGGGTAGAATAATACATAGTGTTATATTAAAATGTATAAGGTATAGGGTGGTTTATAGCAATACAGTATGTAATTTAATGTTGGGTTTGTCTATGGCAGTATATAGTACGGTGTAGACTCGTGTGATGTAAGAGAATAAAGTTTAGATGGTAGCATATTATATAATTTTTACGACGTAGAATTGTAATGTATAACTTACTGTTAGTAACTCAGCTTATTGTAGAGTATAGTAAGTATACTGATGATGCTATGTAGTTTATACTTTAGTTGTTTACGTGGTGGTTTTAGTTACTGCAGCTACATACTATTAACACTCCTTCCCTTGATTAATGCTACCCCTACCCCCTTCCTTTGATGATGAATTAGCACTATTCACATTCCTGCATTTCCCATATCCTCTCCCTTTGATGCTGCTAATCCTGCATAATGCACGGGCATATGTAGCACTAATCACATTCCTGCATTTGCCATAAATATGCTAAATTCATCTTGATATGCAAATTCCTTTGTCAAGACGCCCAGCTTATATACATGCTCCAAGCTCGTGTGCTGTTTCATTCAGACTCTGTCGCCTCGACAGACCTGGTCTTCACCTGAGGACGGCTGCTTGCGTTGTGGCCGAAACGTCGTGAGAATTATTTTATTATGTTTTATTTTTATTATTTTATTATTTCCCTTCTACGTGACTTTACCGAAAGAACCAAGAAGAAGAAGATACGTGGGATCGATTCCCGCATTCTCCAAGCGCAATATTTTTTTAAATCAAATTTTAAATGTTAATTCCCAGCGTTAGTGTCTGTGACATCTTCACATTGGTGAACCAGCCTGGAAGTACACTGACCTCTTGTCGCTCTCGATGTTGCTGTTTTGAAGCTCCTGTTAAGACGTTAGAGATGTGACGAGAAATAAAAAAATATAAAAAATATTATCGAGCTTGGCAGGAGTGGAACAGTCAGCCGTGTGCCCCGTGACGTCACAGACCCCACCACGTGACTCGCACGCCCCCCAGGGGACCTGAAACGTCGGCTGAGCCGCAGTGTTGAGTCTACGGCGCAGCGCGCAGTCTTATCAGTTCTACGGAATCCGAGTCGCACTCGCGTCACGTGGTCGCCTATCCGCACTACGTATTATAAACGCGCCCTGCCAATCTCACGAGTTCGCAGCTGCCTGCAGCCTCCTGCCCGAGGTGTCGGCACGCGACGTCGGACCTCCTCCTCCTGCTGCTGCTGCACTCCACACGAGGACATTGTTGAGTGTGTGAGCTCACAACGACGGAGAAAATCACTCAAGACCCCCTCCCCAAGACGTCGACGCAGCGTTGCGCCGGTGAGCCCTGCGGTAAGGCCTAGTCCCTGGGAGTGCCACCGGTCTCGGCTAGATTGCTCAGCCGGCCGAGGTCGCACCTTGGCCGGCTGGGGCTGGGCTGCTACCCCCCCCCCCCCCCGTGACTGCGAGAGTGAGACTTTAGACAAAGGTGCCCGTGTAGCCTCTAGCAGGCTGTAGGGGCAAGTGCTGTTAGTAGCACCTATACACAGACAAAGGTGCCCGTGTAGCCTCTAGCAGGCTGTAGGGGCAAGTGCTGTTAGTAGCACCTATACACAGACAAAGGTGCCCCGTGTAGCCTCTAGCAGGCTGTAGGGGCAAGTGCTGTTAGTAGCTATACACAGACAAAGGTCCCCCGTGTAGGTGATGGTTGGTGATGGTAGTGATGGTGGTGATGGTGGTGGTGATGGTGGTGATGGTTGGTGGTGGTGATGGTGGTAGTGATGGTTGTGATGGTGGTGGTGATGGTGGTGGTGATGGTGGTGATGGTTGGTGATGGTTGTGATGGTAGTGGTGATGGTGGTGGTGATGGTGGTGATGGTTGGTGATGGTTGGTGATGGTTGGTGGTGGTGATGGTGGTGATGGTGGTGATGGTTGGTGGTGGTAGTGGTGATGGTGGTGGTGATGGTGGTGATGGTTGGTGATGGTGGTGATGGTGGTGATGGTTGTGATGGTGGTGGTGATGGTGGTGATGGTTGGTGATGGTTGGTGGTGGTGGTGGTGATGGTGGTGATGGTGGTGATGGTGGTGGTGATGGTTGGTGGTGGTGGTGGTGGTGATGGTGGTGATGGTTGGGGATGGTGGTGATGGTTGGTGATGGTTGTGATGGTGGTGGTGATGGTGGTGATGGTTGTGATGGTTGGTGATGGTGGTGATGGTGGAGATGGTTGGTGATGGTGGTGATGGTGATGATGGTGGTGATGATGGTGATGGTTGGTGGTGGTGGTGATGTTGGTGATGGTGGTGGTGGTGATGGTGGTGGTGGTGGTTGGTGGTGGTGGTGATGATACAGGGAGCTGTTCTCGCTGCATCACAACCCTCAACAGCAACAGCAACGACGACAAGAAGCCGCAGCGATCTGCCATGGAGCGAGCCGGCGGCGGTGGCGGCGGCGGCCGCGGCGGCGTCAGCGGAGGCGGCAGGAGGGCGGAGGACCGGCTCGCACGGCCGTCCGCGGGCCTCGGGGGCCGCTCCAGGCCGTCCGCGGGAGCCCCCCCGCAGAGCGGCGGCGGAGAGCGCCCCGGAGCGCGAGCTGGGGGGGGGGGGGCGGCGAGGGGGAGAGGGGCGGAGGGCGCCGGGAGAGCGAGAGCGGTGGACACGGGGCGTCACTCGTGGGACTCGCGAGAGCGGTGGGAGAGGCGGGCGTTTCGACGGCAGACGCACACGCCGAGGGAGAACGCCAGGAACCTAGGAGGAGAGGGGCTGCGCGCACACAGGGGGGGATTGCAGTGGGAGGTTCGGGGGAGCGCGGGGGGGGAGGGGGGGGGAGAAGGGAGGGGGGGGGAGGGAGGGCTCGGGGTGGTGGAGCCGGGTCACGGAGAGGCTGCGGCGGGTCACGAGGGGCGTAGGTGACGTGGGGCTGGCGAGTCCCTTCGGAAGCGGAGGGCGCGGGAGAGCGGGGACGGCCAGAGGGGGGGCTCGGCCCCCCGGGGGGCCCCCCTCAGCATGAGTCTCGTTTGGCGACTGCCTCGCGACGACGACGGGAGGTTGGTGGCCGTGAGAGCCGCAAGTTCCCCGTTCCCACGGCGGGTTCCCGAACTGTAGAGAGGAGGGGACGTCGTCAGCGGCCCGTTGATTATGACACTGGTCATAAACGCACTATCCTAAAAATACAGCACCGTATTGTAACACTAAAGCAGTCACTGACTCGCAACAACTTGCAATCATAAGTGACAGAGTTAATTTCGGGTAAAATCAATGAAAATGGGGAATGCCGATAGCATCAAAATGAGATGTCTAAAACAGCTGCAAAAGTCCAGGCCAGCATTTTTTTTTTGTGTTGACCAGTGTCATCAATGCGTTATCCGCCCGAGTGTTGCCCTATCGCCAATGTGTTTATCTATATTTTGTTGACCAGTGTTATTGGTTGTTTATTGCTGTCGGTGATTTTCGTGTTCACGTTTAAGAGATTAAACGTCCCTTCAATAGCATGACAGTGACACGGGTGTCTCCTACGCGTGTGTGCGTTGTGTTTACTAAACGCAATAGACAGGAACACATTACGTCAAGCTACATTTCGATTTAAAGCTTTCGTGACTGCAGGGATTCATATTCTTGGTTCTTTCGGTAAACTCACGTAGAAGGGAAACAATTATTTTATTCCATGGGAACCTCATTTGCCAGTAAAAATATGATAATTGTTTTTTTCCCTTCTATCTGGCAACAAAACTGACACCTTTTTACGAGGAGTCATTTTTGCATAGACCACAATACCTGCAGTCATAATACAAACAAAAGAACATAACTCTGATAATGTGCACTGTCCTTGAAGTTGATTGGTCCACACCCGAGACAGCTTTCCATAGAGCCTAGTCTCACATGGGTTGGACCAGATGACGCCAAAAGGCGCAATACGACGCCGATCGTGGAGGAGGAGGCAGTGTCTCCGGGGACGCAGGCAACGAGGGCGCGCGCCAAAGACACAAAGACAAAGATCACCCGTGTAGCCTGCACAGGCTGTTGGGGCAAGTGCTGTTAGCGAGCACCTATAAGGCCGAACGGTGGAGGAGGGGGTGGGAGGCCAGCACCACGCCCGGCCGCCTTTATCTCCCCAGTGGCGATGTTTACACACCGCACCAGGTACTCATTTGAGGCTGAGTCGACCCGGGGGAGGCGCAGTGCCGGTTCAGATAATCGTCGCTGGTTTTGGCCGTGAGCGGGAATATAACTCGGGGATCCGGGTTCGTAGTGCAGCGCGCTAACCGCTGCACCACCACTCCTCGCCACACTGACACACACACTGACAGCCTGACACACACACTGACACACAGTTTTTAGGACAAAATATATTTAATTACCAATTGCTTAATGGTGCAATGCAATCATCTGACCCATAGGTGGCAGCCATCTCAAGCCAGAGGACGAGAGGACTCTAGCCGCCACGCATATAAAGGATTTATAGTGAAAAACTTTGTTTTTACGGGTTATACTTGTTTTTTAGTTGAAGCGTAAATTATAGGAGGCGGCTATTTTATCTCGCTCCGTGTCTCGTTCCGTCATTATTGCCGATATCAACCGCGTGGCCGGCACGGACGAGGAACGCGCGCAGTGCGATCCGCGTTGCGCGAGAGATGCCGACGAGAATTGGCAGCAGACAGAACTCCGATTTGCCACGGCGTCGTCCGGGTTCTATTTATTCGTTGCACCTTCGTTCGTTCTTCATCAAAATCACACTTTTGTGCGTGCAGAACGGGCGCCGCTTAAACCGAGAAGGGGCATTCAAGGGCACGTGGGAGTTGGCGTCTCTGTCACGTGGTACGCGTCACTCGGTGTCTGCAACGTGACGAGTTTCTTCCGCTGCTGGAACTTCCCTTGGCTCGCCCGTCCAAGCTTCAATCTGACGTCGGGACGTTTCCAACAACAACAACAACACAAACACTCGGCGAGTCGGCGAGGGAGACGATGAAGGCGAGTTTACAAAGCGCCGCTCACCCTCATCCATCAGTCACCTGTGTGAGTGCTAGGTGTGTGTGAGTGTTAGGTGTGTGTGAGTGTTAGGTGTGTGTGAGTGTTAGGTGTGTGTGAGTGTTAGGTGTGTGTGAGTGTTAGGTGTGTGTGTTAGGTGTGTGTGAGTGTTAGGTGTGTGTGTGAGTATTAGGTGTGTGTGAGTGTTAGGTGTGTGTAGGAGTGTGTGTGTGTGAGTGTTAGGTGTGTGTGAGTGTTAGGTGTGTGTAGGAGTCTGTGTGTGTGTGAGTGTTAGGTGTGTGTGAGTGTTACGTGTGTGTGAGTGTTAGGTGTGTGTGAGTGTTAGGTGTGTGTGTTAGGTGTGTGTGAGTGTTAGGTGTGTGTAGGAGTCTGTGTGTGTGTGAGTGTTAGGTGTCTGTGAGTGTTAGGTGTGTGTGTTAGGTGTGTGTGAGTGTTAGGTGTGTGTGAGTGTTAGGTGTGTGTGTTAGGTGTGTGTGAGTGTTAGGTGTGTGTTAGGTGTGTGTGAGTGTTAGGTGTGTGTGAGTGTTAGGTGTGTGTGAGTGTTAGGTGTGTGTGAGTGTTAGGTGTGTGTTAGGTGTGTGTGAGTGTTAGGTGTGTGAGTGTTAGGGGTGTATGAGTGTTAGGTGTGTGTGTGAGTGTTAGGTGTGTGTGAGTGTGTGTGTTAGGTGTGTGTGTTAGGTGTGTGTGTGAGTGTTAGGTGTGTGTGAGTGTTAGGTGTGTGTGTGTGAGTGTTAGGTGTGTGAGTGTTAGGTGTGTGTGAGTGTTAGGTGTGTGTGTGTGTGTGTGTTAGGTGTGTGTGTGTGTGAGTGTTAGGTGTGTGAGTGTTAGGTGTGAGTGAGTGTTAGGTGTGTGTGAGTGTTAGGTGTGTGTGTGTGTTAGGTGTGTGTGTTAGGTGTGTGTGAGTGTTAGGTGTGTGTGAGTGTTAGGTGTGTGTGAGTGTTAGGTGTGTGTGAGTGTTAGGTGTGTGTTAGGTGTGTGTGAGTGTTAGGTGTGTGAGTGTTAGGGGTGTATGAGTGTTAGGTGTGTGTGTGAGTGTTAGGTGTGTGTGAGTGTGTGTGTTAGGTGTGTGTGTTAGGTGTGTGTGTGAGTGTTAGGTGTGTGTGAGTGTTAGGTGTGTGTGTGTGAGTGTTAGGTGTGTGAGTGTTAGGTGTGTGTGAGTGTTAGGTGTGTGTGTGTGTGTGTTAGGTGTGTGTGTGTGTGAGTGTTGGGTGTGTGTGTGTTGGGTGTGAGTGAGTGTTAGGTGTGTGTGAGTGTTAGGTGTGTGTGTGTGTTAGGTGTGTGTGAGTGTTAGGTGTGTGTGAGTGTTAGGTGTGTGTGAGTGTTAGGTGTGTGTGTGTAGGTGTGTGTGTGAGTGTTAGGTGTGTGTGAGTGTTAGGTGTGTGTGAGTGTTAGGTGTGTGTGTTAGGTGTGTGTGAGTGTTAGGTGTGTGTGAGTGTTAGGTGTGTGTGAGTGTTAGGTGTGTGTGAGTGTTAGGTGTGTGTGTGTGTTAGGTGTGTGTGAGTGTTAGGTGTGTGTGTGTGTTAGGTGGGTGTGAGTGTTAGGTGTGAGTGTTAGGTGTGTGTGAGGTGTGTGTGAGTGTTAGGTGTGTGTGAGTGTTAGGTGTGTGTGAGTGTTAGGTGTGAGTGAGTGTTAGGTGTGTGTGTGTGTTAGGTGTGTGTGAGTGTTAGGTGTGTGTGAGTGTTAGGTGTGAGTGAGTGTTAGGTGTGAGTGTTAGGTGTGTGTGAGTGTTAGGTGTGTGAGTGTTAGGTGTGTGTGAGTGTTAGGTGTGTGTGAGTGTTATGTGTGAGTGTTAGGTGTGTGTGAGTGTTAGGTGTGTGTGAGTGTTAGGTGTGTGTGTGTGTGAGTGTTAGGTGTGTGTGAGTGTTAGGTGTGTGTGAGTGTTAGGTGTGTGTGAGTGTGTAGGTGTGTGTGAGTGTTAGGTGTGTGTGAGTGTTAGGTGTGTGTGAGTGTTAGGTGTGTGTGAGTGTTAGGTGTGTGTAGGAGTCTGTGTGTGTGTGAGTGTTAGGTGTGTGTGAGTGTTAGGTGTGTGTAGGAGTCTGTGTGTGTGTGAGTCTTAGGTGTGTGTGTTAGGTGTGTGTAGGAGTCTGTGTGTGAGTGTTAGGTGTGTGTGAGTGTTAGGTGTGTGTGAGTGTTAGGTGTGTGTGAGTGTTAGGTGTGCGTGAGTGTTAGGTGTGTGTGAGTGAGTGTTAGGTGTGTGTAGGAGTCTGTGTGTGTGTGTTAGGTGTGTGTGAGTGTTAGGTGTGTGTGAGTGTTAGGTGTGTGTGAGTGTTAGGTGTGTGTAGGTGTGTGAGTGTGTAGGTGTGTGTGTGTGTAGGTGTGTGTTTAGGTGTGTGTGAGTGTGAGTGTTAGGTACTTTGTTGTTTGCGATCCAGAACAGAACATCCCGGTTGACACATATGGAGGCATCATTACCACACGGCGATTCGCTCAGCTACCCCCGACGCAAACATCTGCGCTCAATCCACCACAGCGTCAAAGTGATACTCGCCTGTGCTCCGTCAATATCAACCCGTGTACGAAGGCAAATAAAATATTTCTATCGCGCCACGTTGGATTAAAAAACACACCGTCAGAAAAGATCGTGTTAACGGTTCAAAGAGAGTTTTTTTTTATTGTCAAAACTTGTTTAAACAAATCAATACTGTAGCTATTCCAGGGAATTGCACATTCGAATTGAACGTTCTCATGCGCTGTATGCACCTGGTACCAGTTTACATGAAAGGCAGTGATTGCTACAAAATATAAAGCACATTGCAAAACGTACAGGTGGTTTTGGGCTCCGTATGCAAACTCAAACATTGGATATATTTTTTCCGAGTGGTTTATCCAGAAAAACAATTCCTCAAATTGTACTTTAAAGGTTTTTGGCTTTTAATCAAAGCTCAATAATATCAACAGCCCTTGTTCAATCCACTCCAAGATGCAGGCAGTGACCAGACGGGTACTTCACCAGTGGTCAGCGCCCAAACAATCAGCAGTTCGGATGTCACCCTCAAACTCGGGTTTCTGAATCCACAGCACAATCACGTTCCTTCACAGTGGCCAGCTAGGAACTTGGTTGGGCAGAAAGCTCGCGGTCACGTGACGCACTTCAACCAATCGGGGAGCGTGCTACGCGGTGGGAGGGGCTATGCACGACAGACAAATAATCCCTGGTGGGCGGTGGGGAACTGTTGTTCCTACCTGTAACAAAAAATTAACCCGTAAAAACAAAGTTTTTCACTATAAATCCTTTATATGCGTGGCGGCTAGAGTCCTCTCGTCCTCTGGCTTGAGATGGCTGCCACCTATGGGTCAGATGATTGCCTGCCACCATTAAGCAATTGGTAATTAAATATAAAATAAAAATTCCCTAAACAGTGTAAAATTTTGGAACAAAATGTTTTCACGAAAATAATTGTCACGCACAACGAGTCTGTGTGCAAAATGTCAGCTTGATTGGATGACGGGAAGTGGGTTAAAAAACGACCGAAAGATTTGCACGGTCCTAAGCAAGCAAGCAAGGAAATAGTAATACTTTTTTTTTATAAATTAATTCTCACGACGTTTCGGCCACAACGCAAGCAGCCGTCCTCAGGTGGAGAACAGGTCTGTCGACCGTGACTTTACTGAAAGAACCAAGAAGATGAATCCCTGCAGTCACGAAAGCTTTCAATCAAAAGACACCAGCTTATTTACCCCAAGGGCTTTTCATACAAAGTGCATCCCACGGCCCACACAACCTCCCACCATCATCCATCTATCGCTACCCCCCTCCTCTCCTCACTCCAGCCCCTCTTCTTCTTCGATGTCAGAGCATGAAGAGAATTTGGCATCTTGCTCCTGGGCACCTCCAGGCTGCTACTGCCTCCCCAGCTGCCAGCACGAGGAAGGGCAACGGCTTGGCGAGCGTACGCTCGCAAATTGTATTTGGCAATGCTGCTTTTGCGATACCGATTGCCGACAGAGGACAGATTCCTGCCAGAGGGCCGCAGCGCTGGGAACACTTTGGCAAGGATGCCGTCCTTGGTGTCGATGCCGTCATCGTCGTCGTCCTCGGAGCTGAGGTGGACTGTCTCTTCACTGGACGAGCGCTGCAGTGTCGTCTCGCTGGAGATCGTGGTGGACACGCCATGCTCTTCGATTCCACTCAATAGCAGTCGCTTTTTGGCTTCTGGGACTCCCAGTTCATCCAAGTCCTAGAATCCAGCGAAACACAGAAAATATGCACACACACCAAATTTTGTTCAGCGATCCAACATTGATAATTGGTTTTTTACCCTTCTATCTGGCAACAAAACTGACACCTTTTTACAAGGAGTCATGTTTGTATAGACCACAATACCTTGCAGTCATAATACAATACAACAAAAGACATAACTCTGATAATGTGCACTGTCCCTGAAGTTGATTGGTCCACACCCGAGACAAGTATTGTGGTCTATACAAACATGACTCCTTGTAAAAAGGTGTCAGTTTTGTTGCCAGATAGAAGGGTAAAAAACAATTATGATATTTTTACTGGCAAATGAGGTTCCCATAGTGTACGATACAACATTCTTCAAATTTCTGACGACGTGTATTCCTCAGAGTAATTAATGTACAAAATCAGTCGGTATTACCGGTAGGAACCACCTGGTTCCACCAGCCCACAGGGGATTATTGTGTCTGTCCGTCGTGCATCCAAAAATGGGAGGGGTGGGACTGGGTGGGGAGGGGCTGGGTGGGGAGGGGCTGGGTGGGGAGGGTGGGGTGGGGCTGGGTGGGGAGGGGCTGGTCACCCCGTGGTGCCCTTATAAAACTCAACGTTTCACCTACTCACGCCGGCTTGTGCCCGCCCTCACAGTTGGCCATTGACCGAGCAACCCAACGTTCCTACCCGCTCCCTCCGCAGGAGGAATGTGTTTGTTTTGTACCCACTACTGGATCAGGACTCCTCAGCCTCCTCACTCGAGCTATGTGACGATCCATCTATCAACGACACACGAACTAATCTT